ATACGGGAAAATTAATGAATATGCGCATAAATAATGAGCTGCATGAAAATGAGGCTAAGGACGATAGGCTCGAACATTCAAGATGGCGGCCAAACATTGCTGTGTGCCAATGTGCACAAACTATTTGAAAAAAAACCCTCAATTGTCCTTCCATCATTTTCCGAAAGATTCCATTCTTTGTAAAAGATGGATTCAGGTTATTCGTAGAGACGTTGGAGCACATTTTAAGGTAAGATATTGAACCAATAATAAGCTTATATTTTGTGTGGCTTTGCCGTCATGCTTGTTACATGTAAGACCGGATTAAGATTATTCTTGTGATATAGTCAGCTTTTTTATTACATGTAAACGCTCGTTTGTTTTCTTACAGATCACGGATGCTACATATGTTTGTTCTCAACACTTTGTATCTAACGATTTYCGCTGGACGCCTAACAGAAGGTGTCTTTTACYAGATGCAATTCCTAGTGTTTTTGCCTGGTCAAAAACAAGTGCTCCAAGGAAACCTCCTGCCAAACGAAGGTTTTTGGTCATTGATCTTTGAGTTTTTTCCGCTTTAGAACAGTTTTACCTTATAGTGTAGACATGTAGATAGTGAATATACTTGCTATAGTCATTTTATGGTAAGTATTATGTTCTTATGTTCTTAAAAGATCTCAGTGCAAAATGGTTTTTTGTCACAGTTGTATTGAAGAGATATCTGATGAAGAAAGGGGAAATGCTATTGAAAATGATAGTGTAGAAACAAGGTTGGTAAAATGAAAATGGTCTACAGATTAGTTCAGATAGTTTAGTATTAGGTGAATGTACTATAAYTAGAWTTTTTATTGTGCCTGGATAATGAATTCATTATGTTTCTTTCTCAACTCAAGTATTGATCAAGACATGAGAGACCAGGAAGATGACAGAGTAGATTAGAGATTAGATTACAGATTAGTTGAGGCAATTGTGTAGTAGGTAGATGTATGTACTATTTGATTTTTTTATTGTGCATGGATGAATTAACATTATCAATATTGTTTCTTTCTCAACTMAAGTATTGATCAAGACAKGAGAGACCAGGAAGATGAGCTAGTGATAAGAGAGCAGGGARATGAGCTTACAGAAGTACAACAGTTACAAGCAGAGATAGAAAGACTTAACAAGAGATTAACTGAAAAAGAAAAAGAATGTGAAYATCTTAAACTTGAGCTGAAGTTAGAAAAATTTGGAATTGAGAGATTCTCTACTGATAATGAGCTAGTACAATTCTATACAAGCTTTGAAAGCTATGAAATGTTTTGCTTGTTTTTTGATTATATTCATGAGGCAGCTAAGTCAATGCAATCTTTATATTATGTTACATCAGATGTTCCAACATTAGCTGGTAAGCCAAGAAATATGCTACTAATTGATGAGTTATTTATGAYTYTATGTCGCATTAAAGCTGGATTGTTAGAAAGAGATCTGTCTGTAAGATTTAGAATTCATGTCTCAACAGTTTCTAGGAAGTTAATCACTTGGTACAATTTATTATATTTTGTACTTGCAGCATTGCCAATTTGGCCATCTCGTAAACAGGTAGATAATAGTATGCCAAAATGTTTTAAGACTAAGTATCCAACAACAAGAGTCATACTAGATTGTACAGAAATTAAGACTCAAAGTCCATCTTCACTATTACTATCTAGTCAGCTATATTCTAGTTATAAAAGTGCTCATACTTACAAGTGTTTAGTTGGGATCTCAMCATGTGGTGCAGTAAGTTTTGTTTCTAATTTGTATACTGGCAGTATGTCAGATGTTGAAATAGTAAAGGCTAGTGGAATTTTAGATTTGCTAGAGCCTGGTGATTCTGTAATGGCCGACAAAGGCTTYACCATAGAAGATTTACTKAAGAAACAGTCTGTTGAATTAAACATCCCACCATTTTTAAGAGAGGCTAAAACAAAAACTGGTCAATTTACAGTAGATGAGGTAGGTGAGACACAAGAAATWGCAGCTGTTARKATTYATGTYGAGAGAGCTATWAGAAGAATTAAAGAAAATCATATTTTTAGCTCACCTATCCCTTTAACTTTGATAGGCTCAATTAATCAAATATGGGCAATTGGCTGTATTTTAACTAACTTTAGAGGCCCACTTATTAAAGATAACAGTGACTAGAGGTTGTGGTACAAAGTTTAGATATAGTACATGTAAGTATAATGTTCAAAAATATCTGCCTTATATAGTTAAAGGTAGAAATATCACTGAACTTGATTAATGTCATTTCTAAATAAAATATTCAAAGTAGAATGTGTCCAGTTTGTCTTTGATTTCATTCCACTTCTCCTGATCAAATTGTATTGTTACTACAGTGTTGTCATCCTTACACCAAACAAAAAAGTCACACCAGGACAGACCAGTAAYGGCCATCTGCATTTGAACCTGCATGTAATAGTTGTGATTTTCTTTGAGATGGAAGGTAGATTCATTGCTATTCTTCACCAAATATGGGACTTCAAGTACTGTGCTTACAACAGGGCATTTTATCTCCACTAATCCAAAAKSAGGTGTTCTBTTTGGATCAAAAACCTTTCTATCTGGAGAGGCAGCTAACCAAGGGCACCAAGGACTTATAATGATCCCACAGGGAAGTACATTGATGCCATTTTCAAATTTCTATGGTTTAATAATGACATGAAATACGATGACAACAAAAGTTTACTATTTGATATGTGTGCAAAGGTATATAAAAGTTTGACAATATACCTCTGAATAGRCTTTAGCTGCTATTGGTTCAGAGTTAATACCATGAAGCATAGCTTGTGTGGTGACATGACGGCCATGTTTRAATCTCTGAACAAGTGTTTCAAAATCTAGAGAAATATCCAATGAGTATAAATACAACAAAAGCTACATGTACATCATATTTATTCATGAATTATACATCATACTTCTCTGTCTCTTTGCTATTTCTCCAGCCTTGGATGCTGTCAGCCTGTCTACTCTTAGCTTGTGCCATTTGGGGTCTGAC